TGAGAGAGAAGCTTGCAAAAGAGGATGACGACTCCGTTTCGGACTTGATCAGTGAGCTCATAGAGCATGGGGGCGACTTGCAGGAGCTGTGCAGCAGCTACGAGCGGCAAGTCGTGAAGGAGGTCAGCAGCCAGGAGCTGACGAATTCAGCTCCCTACACGGAGCTGGAACTGATCCAGAAATACGGAGAGCGGGCGACAGATGTCATGAAAGAGAAGGAAGCCAGTGGAGATTGGGCCGAAGATCCAAACCTCCGAGGCTCCAAGATCTTCTACCTTTCCAAGACAGAGAGGACCACATGACATCATGCGACGTCTGAGAGTTTTGTTCATGCATGTTCTGTAGGTCTGCTGCATCTTAAAAGTGCTGCTGCCCGTGTCCTCTCGAAGGAACTGGGGGAGTTCCGACATCGATCGTTCCTTGGCCTGACTGATCCCATGCTGGACATGTGCCTTTAATTGTGTGTTTGTGACGTCAATCAGTCTCCCTCGAGAATCCCATAGCTTATTTCATGTTATCTCAGGCCAGATCGTGGGCGCCCGCACGAATGTTCATCGAGATGATTTGCCTGCTCTGAAAGATCTTATGCCACCTACCCAGATTTAGTGAGGGTTGCAGGTCCAATGCATTTGTGCACCACATGTTTTTTTTGCACATGTGCTACGGAGGCGGCCCGAACCGAGTGCTCTGAAACGACGGCTTGGACAGCCGTCATCGTCCTCGGCTCCCCCGCCTTCGCCTTCGGTGCCATCAACGCCTGCGACGGCCGATCCGAAGGGTGTGCCATCGGGAGAGAAGGATACCCGAAATCCGCCAGCACCCAAGAAGCCGAAGAAGAAGACGCTGGAAAACATGACTGTGCTCGACAAGGGCGAGGACCTGGCGAAGAAAGCCCTGGCTGGGTCTACGTTGGCTGCCAAGCTGAAGACGGAGATGGAAGCGAATCCCTACGGCAAGGACTTGCTGAAAGATCTGGCCAACGCCGAGAGCAACTTCAAGTGCCCCGCTCGCACTTATACTTTCTCTCGTAGGGAACTGTTTTCGATTCTGCCACATGTGTGCGTGGCGCATGTCACATGCCAGGAAATTGTACAACGATGTGAAGGCATTGTTGAGAGCCAAAGTGGAGGTGGAGGAGCAGTACCTCCCTTTCGGGAAGCAGTACGTGCTGCTGCTGCAAGATATGGAAAGGCCGAAGCAAGCAGCTGAAAGCCTCACAAAAGCAGCGACCATGAAACCGGCCAATAAGCAGGGATCCAACAAGAAACGCAAGGGTGCTCCAAAGGAGCAGTGAAACCCTCGCTTGTTTTGGTTCGTCTCTGCCGGGCATGAGGCCTCCTCTCCCGGCAGCGCAGGTGTCGTGCGGGTCACGGGTGCTGTCTGGCAGACGTGGCAGGGATGCAATCTTGTCCATGTTACTCTAGTGTGGGGCCTCGCCTCCAGGGCTGAGGCCCCGGCCCCCTCAATCCAGGAAATAGAATTTGACCCGGCCCCTTCTAGGGAGCCGCAATGATACCAATGAATATTGCGTTGCTGCGCATGTCGTCATGGCCAAGACAGATCCTGCTCCGATGCCTGCAGAATCCTGCACACTTTTGCTATAGTTCAGCGGCTATTGTGACAAAAAATCTGACAGCTGCGTTGTTGCCTTCGGTCTCGCGTCGCACGATCGATCACAATCTCGTCCTATTATATATCCTGTCGCAGGTACGGTGCGTCCACCTCGTGCAGTGCAGCTCCGAACTTGGAGTCCGCGGTCATGCCAGCTGCCTGCAGAACATGCAATCAATTATGGGGAGTTGCAATAATGCTTTTGTCCACAGCTACGCTCAGCATAAATTTTGCATGGTTGCTGCAGGAAGCAACAACATCGACGAATGAGTCTCAACCGCATTATTTCCACATCTCTTTCAGGGCGTTGGCACTTGCCACCCCTGTACAGAGCTGATCAGGAAGACAGACGACATGGATGGCCGTGGAGCGGAAGTGTTGGCAGAACGTGTGGGGTCTGGTGCCATGTCGATTCACGACTCCGCTAAGATTGCCGCAGCCTTTGTCTGTGACGGTGCACGTGGTGTCGCAAATCGACAGTTTTCAAGGAGCACGAGAGAAAGAGACATGTGGCGCTGGATACAACTCCCTTTCCGTGGATACAGATGTAAGCTGCCGCTGCTCAGCTCTGGGAGACCCGGCCAGAATCAAACCAGAAGTTTGGTTCACGAGGAGGTTTGCTTCGTGCTGCCATCTGATGTCTTCCATGAAATACACGCTCGAGGCCTGGAGTCTGAAATTTTTCTGGGGCTGGGAAGCTTGGAAGAGTGGTGGGCCAGAAACTCCGCAACTTTAAAGTAGTTTATTTTTTTCTAAAAGAAAACATATCGACCAATCTACCTATCTAGCCACAGACCCCTGAACCCCCGTATAACACAAATGCTTGAGTCCGTGGGCGACACACTGAGGAGAAACAGATGAGGTGTACCTCTCTGCTCATAAGGACCACCCGCTGCACCTGACGTACCCCATGGTCTGGCACGAAGACGCCGTGCCAAATTATCATGATGAGTCTGCGGCATTCTGGAGCTGGTCTGTGCCCCTGAACGAAAAGGGATCCCTCTTGTCGCGACATTGCTTCATTGGCTTGCCTTCCAGTCGCATCTGCGCCAAAACACGAGAGGCAGTGCTGGCTGTGCTTGAGTGGGACCTGAGATCCTTGAAAACTGGATGTTTTGCAGATCGCGACCATTTGGACGTGGTTTTCCCAGAAAACAGCTTCAGGGGCAAGAGGGCAAAAACCCCGATCATGGGCGACAAACGTGCCATCTTCTCGTGGTGGAAGGGTGACCAGGAAGCCCACATGCTCAGCCACCGGTTGAGAAGGAATTATTTGACCAACAACTGTTGCGACCTTTGCCTTGCCCAGAAAAGACTTCGTGGCCTCACCTACGCTGACTTTACGATGGCTGCCAACTGGCGACGAACCCTGGAACCGAGGCAAGCATGTACCACAGAGGAGCACACTCCATGGAAGGTGATCCCTGGCTTTCACAAACACAGACGCGCTTTCGACAGCTTCCCACTTGCAGTATGATTGGCTGGTAAACGGTGTAGGACTGAGATTGAAAGAGTTGCTTTAACAACTAATGTGGTGCCTCTGCAGCCGAGTAATGCACATTGCCCATCTGGGCATCTTGCGGGACCTCATTGGCAGTGTCCTCTGGGAAACGTTGGAAAGCCGAATCTCGGAGCATGGTAAGCTGTGACGTGGGTTTGTTTGCTGCATGTCATGGGGTTTAGAAGTTGCTATCATTTGTGCTTTCGAATCGTCCAGGTCAGATGCATGAGTTCCTGGGCATGGCTTCTGACACACCGTTCGACAATGTCCTGTTTACTTTTACTGCACGCGCCAAGCTGTGGGCTCGTGACCGTCGCCTGGACGTCCACATCAAGCCGCTGACGGTGGCATCGCTGGGCAAATCGGACAGCGCCAACTACCCTGAGCTGTCGTCACGCATCAAAGCATCTCGAACGAGGAACTTGCTGGCGTTTGTGACACACTTTGCCATTGACGTAGTACTTGAACTGCATCAGCCATATCGCTTGTTTTCCTAAATGGCATGGTGAAAGATAGATATATATATATATATATATATATATATATATATATCCTACCCAATGAGGAGCGGGCCGTGCCGTGGACTGCAGATGCTGACTTTATTCACTGGAATCAAGTTCGTGCCGCTATGCTCTGGTCCTTGGATTCCGCTTTGTCGCTCTTCGGCAAAGGCCAACGACCGTTTCTCGCTCGACATGAAGCCTCTCAAGGCACTGCTTTGCTGCAATTGCACCTGGAACTCTGGCAAAGGATGGCTCGGCAATGCTTGCTTCGCAAGCAAACTCTGTACAAAGTGAGGCCGAAACACCATTACTTGTGTCACCTGATATCTGACATTGAACGCAATGCTATCAACCCCATGTTCTTCGCAAACTTTGCAGAAGAAGATTTCATGAAATTCATGAGATCTTGTGCCCACGCTTCCCATCCGCGAACTATGTTGATGGCGTGGAGTGCTCGATATATCTTGAAGAGATCCATGATGTGGCGCCGTCTGCAGAGTGAAAAAGGTTGGCTTGTGCACCATGTCTGACACACGCACGCTTAACTCGTTGCTTGGTCGGTTGGCTTGTTTTTCGGTCGGTCGGTCGGTCGGTTGTGCTGGCTTGCTGTGCTTGTTCGCTTGGTCGGTCGGTCGATTGTGCTTGGTTGATTGCGCTTGCTGTGCTTGTTCGCTTGGTCGATTGGGCGCCTTGGGTTGTGCTTAAGGCTTGCTGTGCTTGTTTGCTTGGTCGGTCGGTCGACCGTTGTGCTTGATTGGTTGTGCCTGAAGGCTTGCTGTGCTTGTTCGCTTGGTCGGTCGGTCGTTGTGCTTGGTTGGTTGTGCTTGAAAGCATGCTGTGCTTGAAGGCTTGCCGTGCTTGTTCGCTTGGTCCGTCGGTCGTTGTGCTTGGTTGGTTGTGCTTGAAGGCTTGCTGTGCTTGTTCGCTTGGTCGGTCGGTCGTTGTGCTTGGTTGGTTGTCCATTTGCAGAAGCACCCGAAGCCCGAGAGCCATCGAAGCCGAAGGCAATTCTTTGTGCAAAAGCCCCCCATAGCCCTAAGCACCGAGAGCCGTAGGCAAGTGTATGCAGAAGCCCCCCGTATAGCCCTAATCACCGAGAGCCGTAGTTAATTGTTTGCGCAGAAGCCCCGGTAGCCCTATAAGCACCGAGAGCCGTAGGCAATTGTATGTGCAGAAGCCCCCCGCAGCTCTGCACCGTGCCGTATTGTCTGCAGAAGCCCCGTAGCCCTAAGCACCGAGAGCCGTAGGCAATTGTTTGCAGAAGCCCATGTACCCTATAAACACCGAAACCAGATTCGAAGCAGTGCGACTGTTATTTATAAACTTATTAATTAAGCCCAAAGCATGGACCTTGATGTAAAGTTACAACTTGTTGTTTCTTTTGTTTATTGCTGCTTGTCTGTTGTTTCTTTGCCTGAAAAATAATCGACTTGTTGTTTAAGAAACGCCAAAAGGTTGTCCAGGTGGTGGATGAGGAGAGCGCAGTGCCTGTGATGAGCAGCTTGCCAGGCCTCGATATGGATGGCCTTAGCCTGAGCGCGTTTGAGTAAGCTCTTCCACTTACCCGGTGCGGTGTGAAGTTGATGAAGCCAGTCGGGCCAGATCGCTTCCCATGGTCGGGTCTCGGAGGAGTGTCGGACGGTCCGCCAGAGCCAGTCTAAAGAAGAGCGGACAGATGCGAGCCAGTCACCCTCCCAGTGGGCAAGAGCCCAAAGCTGGCCGAGCTTGAGACGGACGAACAGCAGCAAATGCCTGAGGCGGTGGATGTGCAGGAGGACTGTGATGGAAGGGAGGCCTAGGTATGCGAGAACCTGATCCCGCCCTGCGTGAAGAGCCTGATCAAAGTCCCAGTGTGGTCTGCACATGTGACAAGCCATCCGCTCATACGCGGAGCCCAAGGAGGAAAGGGCTGTCTCGCTGAGGCTGGGCCATGTTCCCGCCCCATGAAGCAGAACTGAGAGGATGAGCGAGTTGTAAAGAGAGGCTTTGGCCGATTTGGGCACAGCAGGAGATCCGAAGATCTGACGTTTCTTTTTCTGGAACGCGTCATGTGCAAGCGCAACCCGAGACCGAACCTCCCTGGCAAGGTCGCCAGTGAAGTGGATGGTTCCCCCCAAATGCCGGTACGAAGTAACGACACGGACTCTAGCAGCAGTCCAAAGTCTCGAGGGGATCGCAATGGACGGTTCTTTGTCCCTAAAAAGGCTGGCGCGTACTCCTTTCGAACCAGCTCCAGAAGGGACTATGATGAGCTCGGTTTTCCCCCGAGCAAGGTTCGGTAACAAGGCCCTGGACAGACATGCATCAATGAGTGCCCCGGGACCCGCCACCTCCCCCCCGGACCCCCCCAGACCCCCCATTTTTACCTATAATAACCCCCTCCCCATTCTCGGCCCGATCGCGGGGAGACCGGACCTCGGACTACACCTGTAACCTGCCCAGCTTTGGTGACAACCGACTCGGCTGAGTCAGACAACATCATTAATGCAAGGTCATCCATCCAAGTCGCATCGAAAATATCAATCGACTGGGAGGGACTGACTGGAGTCTGGAAGATGGCGTCATGCATGGAGTCCTGGTATGGCAATTGGGTCGTGCATCCCATAGCTGTCATATCTTTGGACAATTCCTGGAGCACTCTGGAGAAGAGGAAGGAAAAGATAACGTCTGCACAGTTGTCGCCGGGGCGACTGCCGATACCGGTTTGGACGAGGGAGGGGCCCGCCTTGAAGCGGAACCATGTGGCCTCCAAAACCTCACCCATTGCTTGGGAGAGCCAGGGGCTTGCTCCGCTCCCCTCAAACACAGAGCCTCCGGAGAGGTGCAGGTGGAGTTCGTGAAGAACTCCGTGCGGCAGCCGGATGGTTGTGGCAACATGTGCGATGGCCTCATCGCTCAGGCTTTCTCCTGTCAACAATGGACGGCACACACGATAAAAGGCTTCCTGCAAATCCAGAAACAAGACTGCAAACGACCGTTTGCGAGCCCTCGCGGCCGCGACAAAGAGACGGACGGAATGAGAGACAGCGGTGACTGGACAGGAAGGCAATCCCCCGAGTTGCAACGGGGATGTCACGGATGACAGTGGCCCCACGCTCCGGGTTCGAAGAAGGCGATGAAAGGCTTTCCCGGTCACGGCCGATATGAGGATGCCTCTGTGTGAGGCACAGACCGCTGGCGATCCTTTGCCTTTCCAGGCAGCTTCAAGGCTACCCCCTTTGAATTGCACCGGTTCGGCTAGTCGCAGGCTGGTCTTGAGCAGTAACGGATACAAGGCCTCAGACGCCGCCGCGACAGCACAATGCAGGGCCTCACCTGGGATGCCATCCAAACCTGAAGCTCTCCCTGTCGAGGTTGCAGTTTCGAGCTCAATGCGGCTCGGCAGGTCCTCCTTGGTAATGGGGATCAGGTCGATCCCTCGGCTATTCTGGACAGCCATACAAGAAGCAGCAAGCTGGACTGGCTGGACTTTGCGGCCATCCTCAATGCCCGCAAAGTGCTGGACCCAGGTGTCTTCAACCTCCTCCGCGGTTGTGGCGGGGTTACCATCTCTCATGAGCACTAGGGGGAGACCCTTATGGGTCCTTGCCTTGCGCTTAGGAGGACCGAGGATGGGCTTAAGACGCTTAACAGCTTCAGCGGTGGCGCAGTGTTCAGCCTCCGCCGCAACAGTGGCAATGCGGTGCTGGACGTCGTGGCGGACCGCCTGACGGAGTAGTTTGCGGGTTTGGCGCAACTCGGCCGCAAACCCCAAGAGCCGGCGGTGTCGGCCCATGACAAGGAGGATGTCAGAAAATTCGGCTATGGAAAGTCGGCATCTGCGTTTCCATGCCACAAATGGTGCGCGCAAAGCTGGTGGAGCAAGACCCTCGCGGCAACGCAGGATCTGACGCCGCAGCCACACCCTCCTCTGACGTAGGTTCCAGGTGTGTTCACTGAAGTGAGAGGACCGGCATGGACCCCGCTTGTTGGGGAAGGCGGCAGCCAACTCCCCATTGAGGTAGGCCTCCAGGACGGCCCAATGTCGATGCACATTGGCTGTCCATGGCACCGGAGGTGCCTGTTTCCAGATCTTGGAGAGTGTGATCTGGCCTTCCGGAGTGGACATGGCTTCCCTGTCAATCCGGACTCTATGGGAGCGACTTGCTGAGGCTCGAATTAGAGCTGACACTTCGACCTGTGCCGCGTAGTGGTCGGTATGTCCCTGTCCCCAGTCCAAGCCCGTCTGTACGCACGATGACTGTGGGCCTGCAATCCATGTACAGGGGATGCCAACGAAGTCGATTCTGGAGCCCGATGTGCCCGAGGGGGCGACCCAGGTAAGAGAAGGCCCCTGATGGATGTCTGGAAACGTGGCAGGCAGCCAAATGTCGTGTGACTGAAGGATCCGCTGGAGTCCGATAGGAACCGAACCTGACCCAGGGAGGACCAGTGCTCCAACACGTCCGGGGATGGAAGTGGAGAAGTGGGTATTGTAATCCCCAAGGAGGACAACCTCATGTGCCTCACTGAACCGATGCAGGCGTTCATGGAGCTGAGCCCACCATGAGTCACGTTGTGGATCACAGGTGGTAGGCCCATGGACACAAACAAAGAGGACCTTCACCCCGCCCCGGGCAAAGCGCACAATCAATGTTCGCGGGTCGGCGAAAACAACAATGAAGTCCCCCGGTTGGAAGAACATCCTAGAACCCTTATCGCCAAGGAAGGGGAGGAGGCGACTAAACCAAATCTCAACCCCCAAGCATCCGTTCGGGGCTCTGCCCGAGCAGAAACGAATGTGAGACTGCGAGGTGATTGTGTCGTCGGCAGTCACCCGCGTCTCTTGAAGAGCTGTCACGTGGATTTGGAGGGTATCGAGCTGTTCCCTCAAGAAGCCCGCCCTGCCCTTAAAGGATCGGCTGTCGTCTCCGGTAACGGTAGTATCGTTGAGTGTCTGAACGTTGACAGTGAGGATCCTGAGTCGGAGCAGCCTAGCCTGATCTTGCTTGTGTGCTTTTCCCGGGGCATAGCCGAACCATGTTTGAGCCTCCCGATCAGACGGAGGTAAGGTATCGGAGAAGCGACTGTGGTCTGATAGGTATGGGCCGCAGATCTGAGGCCATGCATGCGGTGCTGCCGTTCCAGTGCAGATCAACCACCACCATTGGGCTGAGCCGTCGCGGATGGCCTGGGCGAGTCCAGCCGCTTGGTCGGTTAGGATGGCCTTGTGTGCTGTCCGTACCGCGAACTTGGCAACTGAGTCAGCAAGTTCGTTGCCTGGTTGGCCTTGATGGGAGTGGACATGGCCGATGGTACCCTTGAATGCAGGCTGAACAGCACAGAGTAGCTGAAGTAAAGCCCGAGCGGCAATCATAAGCGGGTCTCCAGATTGGCTGCCCCAATTGCCATTGGCCTGCTGGAGTGCGGAGAGGCAGTCGGCATGATATGCCAGTGAGGGGAGGGTGCAGACCTGGGTCCCCCAGTAAAGCGCCCAAATCAGCGCAGAATATTCTCCTGCCAGGGCATTGTGCTCTCTGGCTCCTATGGAATCTGGGGAGTGAGATGAGGTTTGAACAACTCCTGCTTGCCAACCTAGAAAGTAGCACACAGCCTCTGACCAACCGAAGACGACGAAGGCCCAGGAGCTACCAGCCCCATCGAATGAGCCATCTGTGTAGATGTCGACATGCCCCAGGTTGCAGGATACAGCAGGCCACGTCTCTCTGTCAACGAACGAGCAGTGGCTGAGAAAATCTCTGGCTGCGGGGTGGAGATCCCCGAGCTCTGGCAGGTGGTGATGTAGCGGCCAGGAGTCACGGGCGACACATCGAGTGACCTGATCAAGACTTGCACCTATGTCAACGGAAACTGTTGAGAGGTCAAACGTGGGACACTGTGGGAGGTGCTCGGCGAGATTAATCGGCCTGGGTGGGCGGAGGTCCCTGTCTGTCGCCCCTCCCTGACTCTGGGACTGAATGAGGCTTCGGTCAACAGCGTGGTGGCTGGGAGCATGTCGGCTGAACTCTGCCTCACCAGTGTCACTCGCACCTAGCGAGTCGCCCGCTGGCTGGTGCTCTAGCAGAGCTTCAATCAATGTCCATGCAAGGAAGAGCGGACGATCTGCACTTTCAAGTCTGCTACACTCAAGCAGAGTGTGCCAGGTCGAATCCTTGTCAAGGGAAAGTTCCTGGATAAGGTTGTGGAAGTCATCGTCCTGGTGCAACGGAGGCTTACTCAGTGGGCCTCCAGAGTGAAGGTTGCGGCAGGGCGTAGGCACCGGACGGGTTCCAATACACCCAGGGAGGCCCGGTGGGTTGCGTGCACAGGAAACGACAGTGTTGTCTGTGCCACCAAGTTGGACAGCGACGACCCCATGTGAGCGGAGCAGAGTCTGAAGCAAGACGACTGAGCAGAGGAGTGGCGCTCTGCTCAGAGCCCGAAGGCTGAAGGCCAGGAAAGCGCCAGTGAGGGCAAGCAAAGAGAAGATCAAGCAGAAGGGGTCGAGAGCACTATCAGAGGTGTCCCCAGGTGGCCCTCTTGAAAGGGCGTGAAGCACATTTACCCAGTTCCACATGGCAGGAAGGTGGCCCCTTCTGGGAGGTGAACGAAACAAGAACCCAACACTGACGATGAAGCAGTTCCTTGGTGCATCCGTACGCCGTGGTAGGCCAAGAGCAGCGCTGGTCGTGGTCGGCTGTGAGCCAGGGCGTCGAGAGCCACCGGTGCCGGCATCATTCCCAATCGACGTGCCAATCGAGGCAGACCGTTGTGACGCAACAGTTGATTCCCCATCTTCGTGGGGCGCTTCGGATCCATCATCCCCATGAGGAGACTGGCCATCATCCTGGTCCGGGGGGCCGTTATCTCCATGCGAATGTGGGATGAAGTGTGCTGGCAGGAAAGTGAGGACTAAGACGTCAAGGTCGGCAACCCTAACATCCCTATCAACTGGGTGGACAAAACCATCCTGCTCAAAGTAACAGAGCACAAATCCCGGTGGACATCTGCCGGCATACTGTTCGTGGAGTCTCGCACCTGGCAGAACGCCGTCATCGACAAGGAGGCACTCAACACGGAGGAGCAGGGGCCTTGCATCGACAAAACAGAAAGTCCTGAGGTCAGGGCTTGAACCAGCGTGCTGGTCGGGATCAAGGACAGCAAAAACATGGTCCTGGATTACCCCCTGATGGGTATAGGCCGGAGCCAGGGGCTCTGACGGGCACAGGATAAGAGCAGTCTCGCCCACACCAGCGGCAGCAGACAAGTCACGGCGTAGCTGACCCCGACGGGCTGGTGTAATTGCGAAAGAAAATGCAGCAGTGGGAGCGAGGACCCAGGCATGCTCACTCGCAGGCGCAGGCGGAACCCATAGAGGGTCCCAATGATCGGCTGAGTTCAACATTGCAGAGAGGGTAGTTGTGGCAAAGTGTGGATGTCTTGGGGGGACAAAAATTGCCGTGTCCCCATGGCTGATAGGCACCTGGACCCCTTGCTGGATGGGCCACGGAATGTCTTTGAGGTAGACCTCTATCTCCGAGAAGGGGGAGAGCCCAGCCGCTATTAGCAATCCTTCTCTCTGCACCAAACCGGGAAGGTGGGCCGCATGAATCCATCCTCCTGCACGGGTGCTATCAAGGACGGCGATGGCTCCAGAGGGGTCCCATAAGGGTAAACCAACTAAGACCCCGACTCCTTCAAGCGACTGAATGGGGACATGGCCAACCCTGGGGAGGTAGCTACGGACAGCCGGATTCCTCGCAGCACTAACTGCCTCAAGCACTTCGGTGGGCGTAATGCCAATGGGAATCCTTATCCGGACAACCTCGGCCTCATAGTGCTGTCCAAGGATGCAAAAGGTCGCTTCTGCGTATGATTGTGACATAGTCCCGACTTGAGTGGACGGAGCGCTGGAAGGGCCTTCACTCGGCTCAGCTTCAAGGCTTGTAGTCAAGATCGTCGAGTAGGCTGTGTGCCCTCCGGTCAAAGTCGCTGGAGCTGAGCCACTATCAAGTGTCTGGGCTACCGGTGGAGGATCTGTGGCAGCATCAACTGGGCCCGCATTGGCAGGCCTGTCACTAGTTGCGGGGCGAGAGGGGACGTATTCGGCAACTATAACGCTGCCTGGGTGGACAGCCGCATAGCGCTGTGAGCTGGGGTGTCCCACTAGGACAACTCGCCGGCCTGGTGGAGCTTGCATGTCGAGAATGTCAAGGAGTGCCCAAGCATCAATTCGTCCGTCTTGGAACGGGATGGTGAGCCAGCCATTGCGCAGGGGACGGCAGTCGACGATGGCACAATATGCTGCTGGATTAACGTGTTCGCACTCAACAACACCAATGATGGCACGAACTGGATGGCCATTGATCGCACAGTCCCTAGTCCTTGGGTTCGCCGGACACAGTTTGAACCCGGAGACAGGTAAGCCCAAGCAGGCAGCGATCTGATGCTTGTACCTTGTCGGACAGGTAACATCAGTTTCATGCAAGACGGTCTGGCCGTCGTAGACTAAACCATACGCGGCAACTGGACTAGGGGGAACCCTAAATGGATCAGTGCTCCACCATGTTGGATCGCGGAGGCAGTCGGTAAGCATGGTTGCCGGTGTGATGGGCAGACCCGCAGGCACGACGCGCACAGTGTCGCCAGATGCAAGATGTAGCTCTGCCCCATCAGCAAGGGGGACCTGATCATCCCCAACATAGACGTCAAGAGCAGGTTGGCTAGAGAGGCCGATCGCATGCAGAAGGGCAAAGCGGTCCGCATAGGTACGACCGCAGTATGCGAAGAGTCGGCCATCCACAAGTCTAGTGTCAACGCAGATCGTTGGAGGTTGCGGTCCCCAGCTGGGCTCTGCAATGAAGACACCGATTCCAGAAACTGGCTGGGGGCGAGCAGGATGTAAAATGGGAAACCGTCTTCGGTCCTCCGTTGGTCTAGCTTCACGGACTGCTTCAAGAGCTTCGGGGGGAACCGCAGGGAGCATGAGAATGGCTTCAACCTGGAACAAAGAGTAGTCAGGAGTAGCGACGACGAAGTGGAGCCGTCGTTCCTCCGACAGGTGTACGACTTCGTCGTAGTGTCCCTCGTCGTCAGCTGCTGTAGGCTCTCTATGGTCAGGTGGAGCTGAGTATGCCCAATTGGAGCTAGTTTGATCCCCATCACCAAAGGTGGGAAGCTGCTCCCTCCACTGGGAGACGTGACAGGAGCCCGAATCCCCGAGGAGTTTGTAGGTGCTAAACCAAGGCCAAAGATCCCAAAGAAGCCCATGGCTAAACCTGACGGGCCAAGAGTCGAAGCAGATGGAGACTCCAACAGGGTCAAGAAGATCCTGAATTTTGTGGGCAAGGACGGTGGTGGCTTCAGGCATGGGGCCCTGGTGGGTAGTTCCGTCGGGACGGCGGGGCGAACGGCTCCTATCCCGTTGACAACCGCCGGCTCCGTCGGTCCCAGACGATCCACTCGAGTCAGTGCATGTGGATTCAGAGTCCGCTTGCTCATCCTCCTGCTGCTGGCCCTGGAGGGCCGTGCTGCTTGGGTCAGGTGAGTTTTCAAGGAAATCTGCAATGTACTGAACTACTAGGATCCCAGCCTGTGGAACATGCACAATGGTGCCTTCTGGCCGAAGTTCGTGTCGGCCCCCCTTAATGTTGACGGCATAGCCTGGGGGCGCCTCAGTCTCGAATCTGGCACACAGACCATCAAAGTCAATTTGCCCTTGGTCCGCTAGTATCCATTCGATGTCCCGAAGGATCGGTCTAGTGTCGATGATGACTATGTGCATTCCAGTGCTACTCGCATCCCTGGCAGGGCTGTTGACACTCCGAGTGGCGACGCATATCGCCTTGCAAGTGTGGCCGAAATGTTCGACATCCTCAACAGTAGGGCTGGACAGATGGAGGACAGTGTCTGCTGGGTGATATCCGAGCAATCCGGTGGCAACCCTGCGAAACTCAAGAAGGGTATGTGCAGGATTCGGCTCGTACGAGATGACTCTGGGCACACCATCATTGTATACAAGCACAGCAGACCTGACGGGTCCTGGGTACATAGGGCACGGCATAGCCCAGTGGCGTTCAGAGCCCAACAGCTCGGCGAAGGGATAAAGTGGGCCCGGCAAACGGCCGTCTGGCAGGAACGTGAACAGGCCTCCATTTTCAGGGACTATTTCTCTGTCTGCTGGTAGAGGTCGATCGGCAAGGAAGATGTTCAGCCTGGGCTCATCAACGAGCGACACGAGGGCCAGGAGGGAGGCTCTGGAGAGCCGATCAGGCACAACTATGCTGAAAAGTCTGCCGTCGACCTGTCGGAGGTCGACTAGGACATGGCACAGAGTCGTGGCCCATTCCGGTAAGGACAGGATGCACGCGAAGCGGTTGTCCGGTTGCGGTTCGACCGGAAGTAGGGTATCAAAGTAAAGGGACTGGTCCTCATTCCGTGCCTCCTGTACTTCATTGAGCGCGTCATCTTGCTCGCAAGGCACCCGCAAGACTAGAGGGAGAACCTCGGCCCTGTACCTAGGCGCAAAGACAAGGAAATGACCGTGCAGGAAAGTTGGAGGCGGCGCTCCTTGTGGCCTGTCCCGTGTGAAAGTGGCCGGTGGCGGCACATGTGCTTCATCATCATACCGGGCTGGTGGGTGCACATCCCGATGTTCATCTACCGTTCGCTGCCATGGGACTCCTTGGTGTCCACCCGGAGCCTGGTAGGGGTTACGCATGCTGAGAGCGGCGTGGCTGTCCGCTGAGTCAAAAGCAGACCCCTCGGGTTGGGGGGGAGCAGAAGGCTCAAAATCGACATGGAGAACCCCGCCATTGCGGACACAGAAAGCATCGCCGGCTTTGGGAAGACCGCTGAAAACAGGTCGGTAGCCCCGAGGGGGGCGAAGGTCGAGGAAGTAATGCAGAGTGGCTTCCCCAACATGTGAATCCCCCGTGTAATAGAAAGTGGGTTTTCTACCAACGGGGCGGCAGTCGAGGATGATGAAAGCACCGGGGGCGACACCGCAGGCCTCAGCCGGTGTTCTCTGCCGGGCTGCAATAACTCCAGAGAGAAGGGCTCCCTGATGCACAAACGGGTGAAATGTGGCTTTGTCTGGGGTACACAACATGAGCCGGTCCCGACGACAACGCAAAGCGCTTGCGGCATGCAGCTCGAGCTCCTCACCTGGCTGTCCTGGGTGTAAGATGTCGCGCTCAACATCAGGCGCAAGAATGAGCCATGAGTCTGACACTTCCTCGCTGACGATCTGCCGAATCTCAGCTGAGAGGAAACTAGGATCCCCGAGACACTCTGCCGAAGGCGGGAACCAGTGAGGTCTGCCATAGACTGGGACAAATTTAATGGTGTCGCCGGTCAAAACCCGAATGGTCTTATCCGATCGTAGCGGGTCTGGATGCCCAGTCTGGAAGGCATCCCAGGGGGACATTGTATGCCGACTAGCATGTTCGATGACCTGAGCGTGCGGGAGATTCTTTTCAACGATGGCGGCATATATCGGGCCCCCAACAGCCGCAAAGTCAAAAACAACTTCGGCATGTTCCGAGTGTTCGAGCCACTGCGGAACAAGAAGGAGCGAGACATAACCTTCCTCTGGCTGTGGTTCGACAAAGTCCAGGTCAGCTGCAAAGAAGATCTTCCTGGGGCTGAGTTTATCAACAACTGTTTGTAGGAAGAGCTCTGGTGTGACCGGAACCTGGACGGGAATCTGAATCGCCTGGGAAGGGTATCCCGGTGAAAGAAGTACACACTGGACCTTAAGCGACGAACTGTCCGATGCAGCAGCCGGGACTGTCCCATCGACCTCACCTGTTGGGACGCTCCACGCACGAGAAAGGGGCTCAGGCTGGCTGATGGAGGCACCGCCCTGGGAAGCTGTCCTGTGTCCTAGCCCAGGGACGGCCGTAACCCGAAGATCCTTAGGCAACCTTATCGGAACAGCCCCAAAGCAGTCCGGGCAATTAAGCAGAATGAGGCACCAGAGAAGAAGCCGATTGCCGATTGATGGCATGCCGCGCGGACGCCCAGAATGGCGCCCAGAGGGTCCTTGGTGAGCACAATGTGCAGGTGGCATGTCAGTCGATTGACTCGGGGAGAATCCGCGAAGACTCAACAGGGGCCTCGTCGCAGCACCTTTGCAAGGCAACCCCAGGAGGCGGCCAAGTGGTTCGTGTCTGGCCGGAATTTGTTTCCAGAGGCAAAGATACAGGGCCAACACTATCTGGAAGAGGATGGCCCTACACAACGGCACCAGGAAGTAGCCGACTGCCTCAAGAAGACCTAAGAACCACGACTCAGCAAAGGAAGAGAAACAAGGAACCCGAGAGGTGGGGGGACTAAACCAGAGAGGTCTAGAGGAATCAGGGCAGATGACAACTTCCCCGGCGGACGCCCCTGAACCACCGATAGGTCTCTTAGGTGCTCGGAGAAGTTGGTCATCGACTTGCTTTGGGCATAGGATAGTGCCCTGGAAAGCAACAACGGCAACGGGGCCAAAGGTCTGACCTAAGCAAGGCTCGGTCGGGAAAAATGGAGTGCAGCCAAAACTCGAGGCGCTTGATCTCCAAAACAATCCGCACCCAGTTGCAGTTGCAGATGGGAGGCGGTGTCCCCCAAGGGCAAGACCAAGAGGGCGACCCGAGAAGGATGGGTGCAGGCCTGGCAAGGGGATTCCGGAGAAGGTGAAAGACAAACACCTCTCCAGTCTCCGCGAGGAGGAGAGAGACCCAATACCATCGACATCGATCAGCCCAGGAAAGATGTCGGATGGGAAAGGGTCCCAGCAAGGTGTGCTGACGCTAACATCGAAGGCGGTGCCCCGAAGCGCCTGGAGGAGGACAGGCACCGAAGAGCCAAGAGGCAGGTTGCTCGAAAAGAAGCCAGGCAACCGGGGAAGAGCAAAAGCCCTTTGCACAGAGACAGGGTGCCAGTCAGTGTGCTGAAAGACAAGGAGGGTATAGCCCCGCCAGAGCCCAACACAAGCCCAGTGCCAGCTCTGGGGGGAGAGGAAACGGAGAGGGTCGCGGACCACCATCACAAAAGCCCAATGTGGGTGATCAGCGGCTTCCTGGGCGGTCATGGAGGACGGACAAGGAAGGGGCAGATCCAAGCAGCTGCAGTCTACTGAGTGAGACCACAGAAGTCCACAGACTGCACTTGCCAACATGTCAATGGGAGGACATTGACCGACGGAGAACAAGCGGACAGGCCATCTCCCCAATGAGATGGCAAGCCCAGCCGGCTCCGGCAGTCTGTCGGCCCAGCGTCCTGTTGGCAATTGCCTCTGCGACTTCTGTCTACAGTTACTCAGAAGAGGAGGCACTACTCCATGCCAGCCAGTCCTGATCGCTGTCCTGGGTCTGGCGGCTTCGCAGCACGGTCGAGCTCCTCGTCCTCTGTAATCACCTGTGCTCCCGTTTGGCCCGAGTCTATGCCGGCCGGGTTGAGACCGAAGGGAAACATTGCACGCTTCTCGCCAAGCGTCTTTGCAAGGTCTTCGGACCCTGGTGGTGCCCCATCCGTAGGGCCCGTAGGTCGGTGGGTCTCGTAGGGATTGACTCTTGGGGAGGCAGAAGACGATTGGCGGAGCCTCGTAGTAGCCGGTGAGGCCTGGTACGGCCCAGGGCCGTGTGCCTCCACATAGGCTGGTGGTGGGGGTTGTCCCTCGCGGATCCCCGTGTTGTGTCCACCATCGTGGGGCGGACCGCCAGAGGCAGGAGGCCCAGTCGGCGGGATCAAACCCGGAGCCCCAGCACTGCTCATGGCCATCTGTGGCAACGCTGCCAGGGTAGCATGAAGGAGTCTGGTTGCAGCTTCGGCTGATAGCATGCCCGAGCCATGCCAGGTGGTGCCGTACTGGCCCGCAGGTTGCTCGCTGCCGCCAGGGCATCCTGGAGGAAGCCCGCTTGGGTCGGTACCTCGCTCGTTGCCAACAAGGCATCCCAAGGATCCTCCGCCGTTTCCATGGGTGCTGTGGCAGTCGGCCGCTCTCCATTCACAATCGCCTGGACATTCCTGGCGGCATCCTGTCCTGTCTCCGTCGAGGCTTGGATGTCCTGGTCGATCTTCTGGATCGCTGCTTCGAACCTGGCCAGTTCCGCCAAGTAGTCGTCGCGCGACTTTTTGGCAAAGGCTTTCCACTGAGCCGTCTTCGTAGCTCTGTCCTCCTTCAGTCGTCTCAAGCGGTTGTCTGCCTTCTTGGCTACCGAGACCGCCTTTTGCACTTCCCTCATGATGTTGTAGCCTTCGATGTTCTCTGGCAAGACAGTCGCTGTGGGCTCTTCTTGGAGTTCGATCTGATCGTATGAGGGCCGCTTGGTCGCCGATTTGGCATGCGGTGACACTGCATAAGACCCAGGCCACACACGCCCATGCCAGGGGGGCTTTCCGCCCTTCCACTCTTGCCATTCCTTTGCTGTCCATTTCTTTCCTCCCATGCCACAATCTCGTCGATAGTGAGGTCGAGAGTGGTGAGCTTCGAGGCGTATCACGTCCCTGGCCAAGGGACACAAGCCTCTGGCGCGCCTCAGACGCACCCGTGTACGCAACTTTGATCGCAGTTGCCTCTTGTGGCGGTGCCAGGCTGGGCTACGGCGAACCCTGGGTATGGCGGGGAAGAAAGGGAGCGCACGTGCACGTCTTGTGCACTGGGGCCTTCAGCTATCCTCCTGGGAGGTTGATCTGAGCCCTCATATATATATATATATATACATACATGATTCACTCGGCAAGAACACGCGACAGACAATCAACTGCACATTTGAGATGCGAAATGCATACAGCTGCTGTTTTGGATCATCTAAGTCCTGCACGAAGTCATTGGAATACTTCGGCTCCAAGAATCCAGGGCACACCTTTGACTTGCCGCACTTCTTGTAGCCCTTTCTGGTCTTCTCTTTGATTTTGCTCTCTACGAACCTCGTGGCCGCGTCAAGCTCATAGTGGACTTGACTGTCAGTTCGGCCCGTGCTGCCCAGCTTTCCAAACGCCGAGATTGTTTTCTGACCCTCCTGCACAATCTCCCAGAACTTGCCATCGCCTTCGAGACGAATATCCATGATCCCTAAGTGCAGCCCACCTGGCTTACATATCACCATTGGTCGATGCTCAAAGTAGCTAGTGTGCCGTCTCGTCTATACAGCTAGTTAAACATGCGGGGCATCAACCGCCAATAACCAAAAAGGCTGCTGTCGTCAACAACTTCGAACATTTAAGAAGCAATCTGCACCGCAGCTGCCTTTTACTTTTCTGACAATTACTGTATGGCATAATCTAGCTCTCTCATTGCTACTCTCTTTTGTCCCGAATCAGCGAAGGGCTCTGTGGAAAAACTGTCTCCCGCTTGACTTTCTTACGCTGGCTTGTCCACGCTGGATTATCTCCGCCTGACCATGTCCTTGAATTTGCAAACTTTTTTCTAGGCTGGGCTGGGTCTAGCGGGATCTGCGGCTGCGAGTCAATCAGCTGCCCTTGGCGAGACGTGCCAGGTTACGGACCCAAGGATTGCGGTCTAGGGCAAGGCATTCGCTGAGTGTGCCCCCTGAAGCCACGAGATCAGCAGTTTCTGCATCTGCGCGCATGCAGTACGTACGCAATTTTTTTTTCACCCACCTCACCGCCTAATTAATCACGCACCGACCTCCTTCCCACTCTCTGCTATCAGCCGAAGCACCTTTGCTAGATTCTCCGCTTCAGCCCTGAATCCTGCAACCCTTGAGGCTCGCAGTAGCCACTTTCCGCCGTGCGATCGGCCACCGAAACAGGTCTGCCAGGCACTTGCCGGTGACAAACCCCACCAAGCGAGAAGTCCGGCAGTTGACCTCCGGTAGCGAAAATTGTAGAGTCTGCTTTGAGGTCTTTGCGATTCAGGGCGGAGGGCTTGGAGTTTAGGAGTCTAGGGGGTCTAGGACGTGCTGTTATAGCGAAGCAGTGAAGGTACCGGTTGAAGTTTAGAGAGTTTCGCGGGCTCGGGGTTTCTCTTGCCGCCGAACCACGGCAGCGCTCGGAGAAGCGAGCGATGAGCTCCTTCCTGCCGCGCAACTCTGGGGGAACAGTCCTCGGCTGTCTTGGTTCCAGAGAACTCTTGAAGCCCTAAACTTCCGAAACTCTAAAAACCCAAAATCCTGACACCCAAACCGCCTCCAACTCTACCCTCTAAAGCCTGGAAGCAGCCCGTGACTCGGACCGAAATGGGGCCCATCTTGCTTGAACTAGAAGCCCACAGAGTTGGAACGTTATTCGCCTCATACCCCTAAGGTACGGCAAATCGACCCGAAGCACGCTAATCCCGCTAATCATCCCAAATCCATGTTACAACTTTTGGGGGCTCACCATACAACCAGACTGGTGCGTTAAGGACATCTTCACGATGCGACACTATGATATATAGGGGCCTGAATAAATACGAATATTTCTACTCAAGGTTCCTTATGAACATGATCGCGTGATATACCCCCAAATATAAGGCCCCTACATCATCAGAGCCAAACAGCTCGCAAAGAAACACACAAAAAAATCTCAACCTCACTACGTCTGCTAGGTCTTGCTTTGACGCGTCTGTGTCATAGAACAGAGCACTTGAAGCCCAGGGTGACCGGTCGCCGAAGAGGTTTAGGGTTTAGGGTTCGGGGTTTAGGGTGGGTTCGGGGTTTACCTATAGTCTCCACTGTAGTTCGTTCTTTGGTTTAGCCAGTTTTATGTTCAGGATCCTAAAAGGTATCCCCAAAAAGGAGCTACAATGGAGACTATAGGTAGGGCTTAGGTCACGAATCTCCCAGACTTGAATCTTGCTCTCGTTGCGCTATTCCGGCTCAAAAGGGGAGATCCCAAACCAACACAAACAGCCGGGATTACTGGGCCATTGAGGGACACAGGATGCTTCAACCCGAAACCTGCAATTTTCTAGACTCTAGAAAATCAAAGACCATGATTAGAATAAAGTTTGGGGGCCCATTATACTATAATGACCCCTCAGAATAATATAGGTAATTGTTAAGGCCTCTACAGCATAGCCTGGGTATGTTTGGGGGTTGCTGGGCTGCTGCCATCCGAGGAACTTGAACAGCTGCAGCCTCGGTTGGGGGGTTTTGCGACTTGAGGGCACTGCCTCAAAAAACTCGGTTTCCTATTAGAGTGATATTTGGAACAGGGTTTGGCGAAGGACTCCAGTATAATTGCGCATAGCGACTCTGAGGGGACATTATTATTACGAATGTTCAGACCCAGAGAATCTAAACGCAAACTGTCACATTATGCTGTGTGTTTTTTCACTGGACCTTTCTCGCCGGAGCTGCCACTGAAACATCCCAAAGGTGAGATGGATTTGTCGCAATGCACTGTGCAAGCCTCAAGGAACGGCCGCAGAACAGCAGCATTGATAAGGGAGGTGGAAGCCCTTCTTCGCTGTGCAACGCCCTGAACGCGCAGTGAATCTCAAGAGGTATACCACCACAACAGCAGCGCTATGAGGAGATAGATGCCGAAGAAACTGCGGCATGATTACATCAGAAAACCACCGAAGCCCAGCAGCATCCACTTTCCGCCGTGCTCGCCTGCAGCACCCACCCTGGCGCCGCCTTGTCAACAATGCACCACAGGCTGGATGGAGAGTGCATCCCAGGCCTAATGACTGAAACTTTACTGCCTCAAGCCTGACACCTCTTATACTTTAAGGAGAGATGGGATTCGGGACTGTTTGCCATGTCTGAGATCAGCGAACACCTGCCAGCTTCTCGATTGGATTGCAACAGTAAGGCTTCTGGCACGCTGAACCACAACCAAGCTACCGTGCCAAGACATCGGGTCCACATCACCAGCGTCCCCCCTGGTGAAGAAGAGGGCCAACCTTAGACCAGCATTAATAATATAGGGGCCTTAATGATTAGAACAAGGTTTTGGGGCCCATTATATTGCAATTATAATAAGGAACGCCCACAATAGCATTGGTAATTATTACGGCCCCTATATTAACATCAAGGCTGGGGTTCCCAAAAGGAGTGGACCCTGCTCCTTTGCCTTGAACTGATTCCTCTGCGCAATACTGCTAAACACACTCTACCAACCTGGGGCTCGAAACCTGAACAACCGCTTTAGCGTAGCATCCTGGTCATCATTTTCGTCATCCTCGTCGTCATGATCATGTTCCCAAACGGCTCTACTCATGCCAAAGCACCGAACGAGTTCACCACCCAAGCATTCAATCCGAAAGATCCTACTAGCCGGCTTATGATTCCGGGCTCCGCAGCCTGCGGCCCAAACACATCCAACCCCGAGGTCCAAACTGTAATTAGGAAACTTCCGACTTCCACTGCTCGGATGTATAGTACCCTCTTGGTAAGCCATATGGCAACCTTGAAGTAACTCATACAGTACCTTTCTAGCAGCCCTTAGAGTAACCTGCGTGCATCCTTCGTAGTAACGTCTGCGTCGCTCTTTCTATAGGAGGGTGAGCCGAGCAACTTGCCGCACTCAGGATACACAGAAAGCCCCTGCTGTCTCTGCGCCCCATCCATCAGTTCCTGAACTGGGCTCGGGTAATATAGGGGCCTTAATAATTAGAATAGGGTTTTGCGGCCGCTTATATTAAATATACTAAGGAACCACCAAAATAGTATTTGTAGTTATTAAGGCCCCTATGGTAGGCCCAAGTTCACAAAGGCTTCGAACTGCCGAAAGGGCCAAAATCCACAGGAGACGCGGTTTGTTTGATCCAATACAGACTTAAAGCAACCTCGTGGATGTAACTGAACATTACTTATGCTGCAAATACAAGTCGTCAGACATGTAGATCAATATGTCGATAGATAGATAGACGGACAGACAGACAGACAGACACACAGGCAGATAGATACACAGCTGTCCTGATGTAAAGCACCTGCATCATCCTGCAGAATGAGGCCGCTTCAGACGTGATCCAGATGGCAGCTCAGTTATCAGCTCAGGCATGCGCTCTTGTTTATTAGCCATGCTTCTCTTTAGCCACGTATGTCACGATGCGACAACAAGCCAAGCAAGTCATTTGTGTTCGGACAGCGGCAACCCGACAATCGTGCATGTCTGCAAGAGTAGCGTATCATTATTACCCCAAGGCGTGGATTAAATTTTCAAGTCCTCAAACACAACAGATACGCTGGCTGCCCTAGGCAGCTCAGGGCAGGGCAGGGCACCGGGCAGGGGTCCGATGACCAAAGTCCGGACCTAAGCCCTAGAAAAACCCCTGTAACAGAGCCCTCCGAAAGCCTGAACACTGAAGCCCTGGGGTTGTCTGCAGAACTGAACTAAACGGTTACATTGCCTAAACCATACATAAAAGGAACTAAACCCTAAACCCTTGGAGGAAACCCGTGCCTCGGGCACCAGGATATGATTGGGTGATTTAGACTTAGACAGCCTTTGTTCGCCATGAAGTGATGTTGTAGTTCGCGACTTTCCGGAACACTACGTGGTGCACTCCCCTATTGTCTTCCTACGGCTGAAAACATCACGAGTAGACGTGTCGACCGTGCCTCTCTGCTCCATTATGATTGCATGGAGATGGATTGAGAACGTGGCTAATATTTAGTTGGCTTGAAGGTCCGGCTCCCTGAAAGGCCTGAGCATTCCTGATGCTGGAGCGACGCCGATTCAAACCTCAGAAGTACTAACTGCCTTGACCCCTGATCCTAGATCCCCTACCCTATAAACCCTTAAACCAATAGTCATCCTAAACCAAGACCCTGAGCCTGAAACCCCAATTCCCAAGGCCTATGCCCAAATCCTAACTCTGCATCCAAAATCGGAAATGGGCCTTCAATCCTAGTCCAAACCGTGGTAAGCAGCAGATGACAGTAAGACGGCTGTTTCGTCTTGGCGATCCAGGGTACTTCCAGGATATATCATCTTTCCAGACCTCAAAGCCCTGGTCCCCTGAGTCTCCTTTTAGGGTTTTATAGGGTTTAGGGTTTAGGGTTTAGGGTATCCTAAAACTCCCCCAAGCTCCTCGGCGTGCCCCTCGAGGTCGGGGTCTGCTAAGTTCTTGGTATGCAGACCTCCCTCGCGCCAGAGCACCTCCAAGGGTTCAGGGACTAGGGTTGCTGTAAGGGTTCTGCAGGGCTCAGGGTTTTCGGGTTTTTAGGGTTTGGGGTGTTAGGGTTGTTAAGCCGGAGCACCTCCAAGAATATCGGCTTCAGAAGTTTACAATTTACGTGGATTGGGTGGGAGGAGTGGGGGTGAGTGCGGTGGGTTAAGGATTCAGGGTTGGAGGGGTTTAGGGATGGATAAATGGGTTTGGGCATTAGGGATCAAGGCGTCGGGGCTTTTGAGTTCTGCGAAGGGTAAACCAAAGGTATTCCCATAAGCTTAAGGCTTAAGGCACCAGGTGTTCTGATTGGTGATAGATTGTTCTTAGGGATGCTGGTAGTGTTCATAAGTCCAGAAGTTGGGGCTTCAAGGTTTAGGTGTTTTTCGTTTTAGGGCTTTAGGAGTCCACAGTGTTAGGAGCTAGGCGCTCCGGGGCTCTGGCTCTAGGGGCTAAGAGTTTGCTGTGGCAGCTTAGAGTTCGACCTTTGGCTCTCAGGGTTTAAACCTTAACACAAACCTCAAACCTTCGATGTTCGGCCCTAAACCCCAATCCCTGCATACCGATGTAGCCATCCACAGCTGCATATGTGTGCGCATATATATATATATATATATAAATATATATATGTAACAGCAAATATATATATATATATAGAGAGAGAGAGAGAGAGAGAGAGAGAGAGAGAGAGAGAGAGAGAGAGAGAGAGAGAGAGAGAGAGAGAGAGGAAGTGAGAGAGAGGGAGAGAGAGAGACAGATAGAGAGAGAGAGAGAGGGAGAGAGAGAGAGAGAGGGAGAGAGAGTGAGTGTGTAACGGACTGCGGGCCCGTGTTTTTCGAGTCCAACACATGCTTTTCTATAGGTTCTAAGCAATTCAGGGATGCTGGTAGTGTTCATAAGTCCAGAAGTTGGGGCTTCAAGGTTTAGGTGTTTTTCGTTTTAGGGCTTTAGGAGTCCACAGTGTTAGGAGCTAGGCGCTCCGGGGCTCTGGCTCTAGGGGCTAAGAGTTTGCTGTGGCAGCTTAGAGTTCGACCTTTGGCTCTCAGGGTTTAAACCTTAACACAAACCTCAAACCTTCGATGTTCGGCCCTAAGCCCCAATCCCTGCATACCGATGTAGCCATCCACAGCTGCATATGTGTGCGCATATATATATATATATATATATATATGTAACAGCAAATATATATATATATATATATATATATATAGAGAGAGAGAGAGAGAGGCAGAGAGAGAGAGAGAGGAAGTGAGAGAGAGGGAGAGAGAGAGACAGAGAGAGAGAGAGAGAGAGAGAGAGAAAGAGGGAGAGAGAGAGAGAGAGAGAGGGAGAGAGAGTGAGTGTGTAACGGACTGCGGGCCCGTGTTTTTCGAGTCCAACACATGCTTTTCTATAGGTTCTAAGCAATTCCTAGGTAGACACAGCACAACCCTTGCCATCTCCTCCCTAGAGCAGGAGCAACAGCAAGAGCCAGAGTAGCAGGAGCAAAAGCCTGCGCAGGAGCAAGAGCCAGAGCCCTCAAAAGTGACAGTAGAGATGAAAATCCACCCTAGTAATAAAAACACCTTCCGAGTTCCTATTGGCGGGGCGGGGGTGGGGGGCCCGTTTAATGTTAGGGGCAAAGGATTACATCATGTGTGTAGATGAAGGTATACATGTATATGTATACGTGTATGTACATGTATGCAGCACATATGCTTGTACATGCACCGATATGACGTACAGTGACGGTCTCAGCTGTATGTGTTTTCACGTGTATGTATGCATGCCCTTTGCGATTGTATGTGTGCAGACGAAACACATGTGGGTATATACATACATGCTCGCCTGCAAGCATACGCGAAAACATGCATTTCAATTGCACTCAGAAGCAACAAACATGATAACACAAACAAGTCAGAGGATAAGTATCATAAGGTACGGAGCAATTTCACGGATGATCCCTCGTCGCTGCTACTACTCTAACAACCATGCCGTTAAGATCCGGGCATCGCATGAGAAGCACCAAAATAGACTTGGTGCAACCTCACCGGCCCAAAGAAACTGTATTCACAACTCGGCAAAGCCACAGCACAAGCTCCCTGCAAAAAGCCCTGTGACTGGAACAGCACAACAGGTTCAACTCAAAAAGCTTCGGGGACCCGAAACCTACACAAAACTGTCTGTAACAAAATCGGCACCCACAATGAAACCTTCACCAACAAGGAGCATTGTACGCCTTAACACTTTGTAAATATTACACGCCCTCAATATAAACCCTGCTAGAGGGAGGTTGCTGACCTCGCCGGCCTTTTGTACGGACTCTGACGGATGGACCTAGCATGCCCGGGACTCGCACATGGGAGCGGCTAGGAGGCTTCCGGGTTTAGTATAGGGGCCTTTATAATTAGAATAGGGTATTGGGGTGCAATATACGATAATCAAAATAAGGAGCCCCTACAATAATATTGGTAATTCTTTCGGCCCCTATAATAGGTGTTTAGCGTTTAGGGCCTACGGCTTGGTCCGGTGAGGATCGACTTCCGACTTCCCGTGCCTAGTACTGTCTCGGCACTCCCATGTCTTGTGCACTTGCTTCTACTGACCATGAATGACTGTGATACATGTCCTGCTGCCTCTTCTCGTCGAATACTAGCTCATTACAGCAACAGCGAATCAAGAGTTTGCGATCATTGTAACCGTTGTGGTTTCGTGTTCCAAGCAATGTTCATGATGGTGATGATGGTGATGATGATGATGATGACGATGCGGATAGCGATTATGATGATGATGATGACGAAGCTGATTTTGAAGATGACGGTGAACATAACGATGATACGATAATGAAGCTGGTTATGAAAATGATGGGTGAACATGAAGAGGAAGAAGGGGTAAGGACAAGAAAATGAGGAACCGGTGTGATGACAACAATGAAAGGCCAAAAAGATAGCACAGGTGATGAATATGATGAAAAGTGATGTTGATGATGGTGAATATACTTGTGACTATGACGGATGATGGTGAATATGACAATGACTGCAGGGATGAAGGTAATGACCATAATCATGACTATAATGGTGAAGAAGAGGGTGACGATGATGATGAATATGATGATGATAACGATGATGATGGTAATGATGATAATGATGGTAATGGTTATGATGATGATGGTGGTGATGATGGGGTCCATGACGGAAGAGGAGGATGATCGTCGAAACAATCATGTTGCAACTAGTCTGGTAGCACTGTGCATGCAGCTGGTGTGTACGTATAAACAAGACATCTACGGGCATGCCTCCAAGCATTTGTCCACATGTACGTCTGTATGCACGTAATGCAGCCTCGGGCGGTTCACCGTGCGCGCAGGGAAAGACGGTAGCGCCATCGCCCTGTTGGGCGGACGGTTTCGAACTAAGTGCAACGGGGTCAAGATGTATGATGTCGGATGGCACAGGCTTTTGGCAAGCATGGTTTGGGGTTAAGTCTCATTGAAGGGCTTGGGAAGTTTGGGCATAGTAATTTAGCCCTAAACCCAAAACCCTCGGCTTTGGGAAGTAATTTAGGGTCTAAGGATGAAGACTGCAAAGGCGATCTTGCGGCTGGCAAAGAAGTCGAAGGGGACAGCCTTCTTGTTGCTGGCTGTCAAGGGATGAACTTCAGACGAAGGTAATGCGTCATCTCTGAGACAGACTGAACCCTAAAACCATTGAACCAACTCTTAAAACCTTTGCGCAGTTTTTTCGGAAACCAAAAACTGCCTCGACTCCCTTCGGAAATCTAGTTCGAAGATTGAGGGGTAAAGCTGCCACGGAGGTTCGTTTTAATTCGGAGTCCTTGCCTGCGCGATAAACGGCGTTCAAATGAACGGAAACAAGGGATCCCTTTGCGGAGGTTCTTATGTTAGGGATCCGAGTATGTGTAGGGTTGTGTTTGGGTTCCCTATTTTCGTAAACTCCCAGATGGTTATTTGCAGCATGCACTTGCAGCCCAATGGAGTCTTTGTCAGCAGCACGAAGCGTTACTGCTAGTAGTACGACCGCTGCCAGTGGTAAGATTTCATCGAATATGCTCTGGAACCAGTACGATCAAACAAAAAACACCAGAAACACGCTCAGAAAACACTCACTGCGTGTGATTTATATACAGCTTTTCTCTTCTGATTTAGCACTCGGCTTGTGTTGTGGCCACGGTGCCCATTCCCCAACTGTTGCGCTCTTGAGGCTTTTCATGTCGGTCTCCTGTTTACCTTTACCCTAGTCCTGACTAGGAACTTGCATCCGCGCCCGAGCATAGGGGCCCCAGCTGTAGAAAGGAACGTCTTCTGGGTCGTTCTGTTAGGGCTGCAAGCCTTAAGGGGACACCTGACATCCTCCTGAAGCCTGGAATGCACCATGCCCGAGTCATAATGTTGAAGCTTCCCCTGATATAAGGGCCTGAATAATACCAATGCTAGTTTGGGGACTCCTTAAAATAAATATCCCCGAACCCTCTTCTAATTATTGAGGCCCCTATTAGGCCTGGGGTTGAGGTAGCGTATCCAAGTAGACCAGGGCCGTCACGAAGCGATGAGGAGCCTGGGTCTTTTGGGGGGAATCTTCCATGTGTTGGACTTAGATAAAGCTGTGACCAAGACAGGGATTTATGATAAATAATGTAGTTTCCTTGTTAAAGCAACTTAAACTAAATCCCTTAACACCCAGATCATCCTGATAACAGGTAATGTAGGGGCCTTAATGATTAGTATACGGTTTGGGGGTTCCTTATTATATTACAGTATAATATACCCCAAAACCCTATTCTAGTTAGTAGGGCCCCTACATTGGAGTGTTTTGGGGCTTAGGCTTGCCATAGGTCAGCAAGTGATGCTTTGTGACACCGGAACGCAAGGACCGTCGCTAGAAGGCTTAATACAGGGGCCTTAAGAATTAGAATAGGGTGTTGTGGCCCACTACTATAATTATAACAAGGACCCCCCAAAAATAGTATTGCAAATTATTAAGGCTCCTACATTACATGCCTAAACCCGAAGCCGAAAACCTAAGCCCTGCCTATGCCGACATCTGAAACTGAGATCCAAGGCCAGACCGTAAGCTCTCACCCCGCACCCTAGTCATCAGCAGCACTGTATATTAGCAGTGACCCTTAATGTGTTAAGTGGTACTGATGACGGACATTACAACTGTGGTGATAGCAAAGATTATAAAAAAAAGACACCGATTATTGTGATGACACGGCGCGTAGCACCGCTGGTAGCAGCAGTACCCTCAACAACAGAGCAAACAAAGCTAGGCATGCCATCCTGGTGATAGCAATCTTCTACCCCGTCAGGAGCATTGCAACTCTGACAGCGCATCTAGCAAAACATGCTGCCTTGATTGCTAACATCTGAACAGAGGTAGTGGTCGTCGTCGCTGGCAACACTTATCATGACACCACTGCTGCCGTGGTCGTATAGGCATCATAACGGATTGAACCTTAAACGCGACGCCCCTAATCCCTAAACTCCTGAACCGTAGCCGCCTAACAGCGAACAATCCGAACCACGGGGCGCCATTGGTGTCCAGATGAAGGCCCGACAACATTCGCTGCCGCAGAGCGCCGTGAGGAGCTTGGAAGTGCACCTTGCGCTATTTCATGGGGTTTATGGTTTTAGAGGTTGCTAACAGTTCTCTTTTTGAGGGTTGAGGGTTTTGCTTTACAAACCAGAAACACTAAAACGGTACTTTTCCCGGGGTTTCTAGCCCACAGAGTCGGTATATACCAAGTTTGGCCGAGGGTTAGGGTTTAGGGTATAGGGCACACGCCAAGTTTGGCCGAGGGCCCAGGGATTTTGGTGTGCATTCCGGCTTCGGCTCGGAGAAGCAGGACCTACTTGTCGGGTATCATGGGGAACTAAAGGTTAACCTGTTTGGTTATATAGGGGTTATATAGGGACTATACTACCCCAAAAGAAGGCTAAAGGTTACCCACTCGGAGACTCGACTACTAGGAGGATCGTTCGTAGAGCCCTCTCACCATTAGAACGGAAGTTGCGTAGGGGTTTTACCAAGGTTACGACAAGGGTTTCCATGATAGCAGATAGCATTATGTAGGAACTTCATGAAGAAACCCCATAACCCCAAAACATTAGGACACACATAGAGAACCTGATAAACAGCCAGGGTTTCTTGATCAGGTTCCTATATCACTCATGTGTGCAGGCGGGTGCAAAGCCCGTGTAAACCCACGCAGTGACTTCAGTGGCCTTATAACGGTTATTATAGGGTTCTGGAGTACGCTGGAGTTCCAAAACCCTGGACCCTCAACCCCAAAGCCGATGCCCTAAAGCCTACTTGTAAACCCCACAGCTACGACAGCTACGAGAAATTCCCTAAACCATAGACCCTTAACCCCAAACCCTAAAGCTTGTGGGGTTGGCTTATGGGGAGACTCATTAGGGGTAGGGTTCCTTTAAAGGGGTCTATAAGGGCTACTATAAGGGATCTATAAGGGTATCTTACCTTCATTTCTTCGGGGCACCCGAGGCGGCTGTTCATCTCGCCGCCTCGGTGTGCCACAAAGCAGGTCCAATCTCCTGGTTTCGGCATCGATTGAAAATAGGAGTATATACTTGGAGGTTCATGGATAGTTAAAAGTCGGGTTATGGGTTATAACTATAGTTATCCTACTTATAACCCTACTTCTGACTAAACATGAACCTCCGAGTAGTAGGGCACCCATGAAGTAATAGTCTACAAGAGGCCACTGTAAGGGCCATAGGTATCACCGTTACTGACTGGGGGCAGTATCCAGCCTAAATCCTATGAGCCCTCAAGGATCCGTAAACCCTAAACCCCCAAACCTAAACTCTAAACCCTAAAGGATCCCTAAACCCCTGCACACATAAACCCTCAACCCCAACTCAAACATACACATGTTGTGTTTACTCACATCTGTTCTCTCGTATTCGTTTGCATTTTGCGTAAGCCTCTCAAGTTCTTCGAAAGAGCTATTACTCTATGCGCCAGTGCAAGGAAGATTGAAACAAACGGATCAGTCAGCGAGTGCTGCAGAACTTGCCCAAGACCCAACCTTACCTTTCCAAAAGCCAATCATTTGGCACCCCGGACCCCGACCCCCGGGAGGACCCAAAAAGTAGATCCCTTAATGCAGGTTCCTATAAAGTACCCTTAGTAGTATAGGGCCCCAAATTAGGGGATCTACTTTCTAGATCCTCCCGGGGGTCTGGGGAGTTTGCAGCAATCACGACGTGCATGTCAAGAAAGGCAGGGTCAGAAGGCTTCGGCGACACACATCGCATGCAATGGCAAAGTAGCTTCAAGTTTGGGGCTTGGGGTCTACCCTAAGGCCCCAAAGTAGTTCCTTTTTGGGGCTCATATTTAGACTCCTATAAGGTGCTCCCAAAAAGGAACTACTTTGGGGCCTATGGGTAGAGTATAGTCCTAAACCCTAAACCTCTAAACCCTAAACTAATTCCCAAACCCTAAACCCCTAAACCCTAAACTTCTAAACCCTAAACCATTGGTGCACTCCGGTCCTGTAAATCATCTCTAACTGCCGGCAGATGCCGGGATCCAATCCAGGGTGTTCCTGGGAGCACTCGGAAATGCAATGCTGCTCTGAATAGAGGGGCCTTGATAATAAGCATAGGGTTCCTTTAATGGGATCTATAAGGGCTACTATAAGGGCTATTACAAGGATTTAGTATAGGGGCCTTAACTTAAGAATTAGAAAAGCGTTTTGGGTCCCGTTATACTAGAAACATAATAAGGAACCCCCAAAATAGTATTGGTAATTATTCAGGCCCATATTGCACTTCTTCTCCTGTGGAAGCGCGACAATTTCTTCATTGTCTCCTGGCCAAAATTGGCAGCAGCCGCAGCAGTCGTCGTCGCAGTCGTAGCAGCAGCAGCAGCAGCAGCAGCAGCCGTAGCTACTGCTGCTGCTTCTGCTGCCACTGCTGCTGTTTCTGCCACTGCTACGGCTGCGACTGTTGCTACTGCCACAACCACTACCACTACTGCCACAACCACTACCACTACTACCACTACCACTACCACTACCACTACTACTACTACTACTACTACTACTACTACTACTACTACTACTACTACTACTACTACTACTACTACTCCTGCTGCTGCTGCTACTACTACTACTACCACCAACAGTCCAAACCAGCAAAAGCGTTCCGCTGCAGAGCCCAGCTTCTTCTGGCCACAAAGGCATTTCGTACCTGCAATCGAGCTGTACAGCCGCAAGACACCACCGGACATTGACTGTGACAAAGGCATCCACGAATGGATACACACAATGCAGGGGCCTTAATAATTGGAATAGGCTTTTGGGCATTCCTCATTCTTATAACTAGTACAATATACCTCCAAACCCTATTCTGATCATGAAGGTCCCTACATCATGCACAGCGGCACCCAAAGATTTGGACCGGTGATGACACAAGAGTTGGGTACTGCCAGGCCACTTAACATCCTCGCCGCACACAGGAGTCGCTTTACCAAAGCTCTTGGCGGCATGGATGATATCAGCGCATGTTCCTCAGTCCATCGACTCTCCCCTAAAAGCTCAGCTGCCTCATGATGCGTATCATTCACCGTATGACAAGACCAAGACATAAACTTAGTCCACAAGTAGGTATCCGGAGCGTGAGGACTCCGCAACCCTATACTATACCCTAAACCCAAAGGCTCCATGTACCCATATAGTAGGTATTTAGGCCTCAAAAGTACCTAAATAGAGACGCTTTTAAGGCCTAAGTACCTATACTATATGGGTACATGAAGTCTTAAGGACACATAACGCAGAAACGTTCGACCCAAAGTCAAGTGACGCTTGTCCAGGAAATCGTGGCAAACGAAGAGTAGTGGCTCCTGAGTTGGAGTTTAAAGTCCACCAGACTTGTATCTATATGTGTAATTACATACATATAGATATATATGCCTATACACATTCATTCGTTCACTGACTTCTTCTTCATAGTATAATATATACATGTATATATATATATATATATATATATATATATTATGTATATATATATATACCTCCGTGACTGCAGCTCCAATGCAGCAGCGGCTCTGCGCTCTTCTTCACCACCAGGCACTCCCGCTCACAGCCTCGGTTCTTGTTAAGAGATTTGTGAGTTTCCCAAAATGGGGGACCCTGACAAAGTACCCTAAATAGTAGGATGCTTATTACAAGGACCCCAAAGTAAGGTACCCCTATTTTCGGAAACTAATGTAAGTTAAATCTATAGTGAATAACATGGTTTCCAAACTATATGGTAACTTTTGTTACACTTTCCATATTACATAGTAACTTTAATTAAACTTTCCTTATTATATGGTAACTTTATGAAACTTTAGTTAAACTCCTGAACAAGAACCCAGCAGCCCTGGGCTGCCAGGGGCCACGTAAGTACCAGCCTGGCAGGGCTTTTCAGCTTCGGGCTTTCTTGGGCTTCGGAGTTTTTGGGTTTAGGGTTCAGGGTTTAGGGTTCTTAGGGTTTAGGGTTTAAGGATTTTGGGCTTAGGAGGTTAGTTTAGGAGTTTAGTATAAGCTTTATTTTAGGGTTGAGGGTTTAGGATTTGTGGTTTAGGTAGAGCTCATTTCGGGCATAGCGTTTCGGGCTTCGGGTTTAGGCGTTATAGGGCTTAGGGTCAGCAGGGGCGCAGTGCTCCTCTAAATTACCTGGTAGAAACACTGACTGTTACTGGGTCCTGGGCACACATATTATGTGAGAGTACATACTCTGATCCCCTACACCAGCCCGGCTCTGAATCTTGTTGCTAAGGCTTTCTGCTTGGTATGTGTGTGTGTGTGCGTGCACGTACCAAACCTGTCCGTGCACTTCTACGATATGGTTGATTCTTAAACAAAGCCCTTCAAATGAAGCTATTATAGCAAGTGCCATTGACGATAACTTACCATGTCAAAGTCTCGTCTCACATGCTGTGTTTTAAACAAGCTGATGCGGGGAACGCAATAGTTCTCTGAAGTGGCAAGACACTTGCCTCCCGTGCCGGAGCTTGGTCACACAACGTTCGACGTCGACAGGCGCCTGCCGAAAGCTGTTTGCAAAAGGATAGATCCAGCCGCCGGTCACGAAAAACATGATTAATACCATCCATGAACATAAAACTTGCTATCCTTCACTACCGCTTCTTTACTACTTCTAAAATTAGCAGCATGTTGAGGTGCTCCATGCAGACAGCAGTGTTGCCGGGCAATGACGAGTACTGCACTTGGTGCTGCGAGTAGCTTGCAATGCCATTGCATTCTAGTGCAAATCTTCACTTCAGGCAGTACTCGTCTTGCTTCAACTCCTGCGGTGATCAGACACCTGCACAAACCTCGAAGGCACGGGTACAGGCATGCTGATGCTATCATTGCTTGTTGTGTTTGGAGAAAGTTAAAGTTGGGAGACTGAGCCCACAAAACTCCTGCATCGTCTGCCAGTTCTGGTTGCTGAACCTTGACTACTACTACTACTACTACTACTACTACTACTACTACTACTACTACTACTACTACTACTACTACTACTATTACTACTACTATTACTACTACTACTACTACTACTACTACTACTACTACTACTACTACTACTACTACTACTACTACTACTACTACTACTACTACTACTACTACTTCGCACATGGACAGCCCCATCAGGACAAGGCCGATAGGTGGAGCCCATCCACCTGAAACAAGATCTGTTCAGTACTGACAATGAGAGCCTTAAGATGAAAAACACTGAAGCAATGTGGCCGACAAGACAGGGCTACCATGTAAAATACTGTATTCCATAGTGACACAGTGCCGCCCTGCACTGACGCGGAAAACCAATGCTTTTCTGAGGGTATGCCGCTTGTGAGTCTTTCTATATTTTTGCTGAGGCGCATGTTCCGGCACCGAGATGCAAAGCTCTTTGTCAAGGCCGCCAATGCGAACTTCGCCTGGTGCGACATCGACACCTCAATGAGCTTTGGCGCAGGGATTTCCGAGTTGGGAAACCATCGAGCGAAGAAGTGGGACCTTCTCAACAACAACCGCATCAGTGACCGGGCCAGCAACAGAAATAGCGACAGCAACGACAAAACAACAGCCACACCGACATCATAACATCAAAGGCGTCAGTGCAGGGCGGCACTATGTCACTATGGAATACAGTATTTTACATGGTAGCCCTGTCTTGTTGGCCACATTGCTTCAGTGTTTTTCATCTTAAGGCTCTTTTTGTCAGTACTCAACAGATCTTGTTTCAGGTGGATGGGCTCCACCTATCGGCCTTGTCCTGATGGGGCTGTCCATGTGCGAAGTAGTAGTAGTAGTAGTAGTAGTAGTAGTAGCAGCAGCAGCAGCAACCGCAATCGTATTAGTAATCGCAATAGTACTACTAACAGGAGTAACTAGTAGTCGTAGTCGTAGTCGTAGCAGTAGCAGCAGTAGTAGCAGAAGGAGCAGCAGCAGCAGCAACAGCAGGAGCAGGCGCAGGAGTAGTACGAGTACTTAATAAGATAATCAAAATATCCAAATAGTAATAGCAATCTTAGAAGCTGCTAGAAGCTGCCCCACCCTGTAATAGTGACCATAAGGATTATATTAATATTATATTAGGGCCCTATTATATTCCTATTATACCACTATTACAGGGTGGGGGCAGCTTCTAATAGCAATAGTACCATTAATGGGAACCGCAACAGTAAAGACAATAATAATTTTCAATAGTAGTTCATTCCCAAAGCCCTGGGCCTTAACGGCTAGAGGCCTTCAATCATGCCTATGATTCGGAACACTGTTGATAATATAGGCCCTCCACACTAGCCAGACCGTTATCTCAAAAGACGTTGAGTTCAAGCTGAGGACACCGCAGAGAGCCTTGGTATCATTCGAAGATACCGGCACCTGTTCCACGCTCTGAGCTTCAAAATCTCCGAGACGAATAGCTTCACCGCGCATGTATGTTTCTAGTTTTGTTTTTGTTGACTTGAACGCAGGGTAGGGGTAAGCAGGTTTGGACTCCGGTTTCGAGGTCGCAGAAGAGCTTGGGCTTGCTTCAGGTGTGAATTCTTTCGTCCCCCAACGTTGCCAGGACAGTAAGGTCTACCCCTCCAAAAACACACAAGAAGAACAAGGGAAGGCATCCAACGACACCAACACCAAACCCTCAAGTGTTGCTGCCCTGAAGCATCACGGCCCTGCACGGGCCCTCACCCTCAAACAAACATTGCCAACATCGAGAATGCAGTATGGCCGCCTAGGGCCGAGGGAGTTCGGCCAGGCTTCCGGCAAGGATAGGTTTAACCCGTGTTGTCAAGAGGAACTGCAGTGCAAGGCTCTGGGGAATGCAGGCCAGCACTGGTGAAGGTTCCTATACTAAACAGCGACGAACTCCAGGTTAATGTAGGCGGTTCAAAGATTCGGGAACCCTAAACCCTAAACCCTAACGAAGTATCTCTTGCAAAGAAGGCGTGGTGGAATCCCAAGCCTCTACATCAGCTAGGAGTCGAATATGCCTAGAACGTGCTTTTAAAGCCTTTGGAAATATTAGTAGGTAAGATCCTCTTAAGCCCAATAAGAGCAAATATATGATGTCCCAAAGCCCTGCCTAGATTCCATACGTCCCAAACGGCCGTTCCAAAACCATCTGGACTGCAAAGCTGTAGCTAAATCCCTCCTGTATAGGGCTTAATCCCAAGACCCTTCTCTTTTGCACGCCCGGAACCCTTGAACCCGGCGCCATCAAACCTGAAAGAGCTCCTTAAGTCAGAGGCCCAGAACTTGCGTCTAAGCATGCCATGCCTGTGAAGCTGAGGGTTTTGAAGTTCGGGTGGGGCTGCATTGTTGGATACACTCTTGGAGCGAGCTTGTTTGCCTCAAGCTGCCACTGCCCTTTGCGCCACTCCAGTCGATGCTCGCAGCCCATAGCCCAAGCTCAACAGCATGCGTCAGGTGCACACAAACAGTCTTAGGAGTTATATGGGTGGTTGTCAAAATTAGGGTCCCTTTTGGGGTTTCCCTAAATGATAGGTGCCGTATTATAATAGGTACCCAAAAAGGGACCCTAATCTTGACAACCACCCATATAGGGGTCTGGTGATAGAATAGTTAACCCATCGGAGCAGAAACCTTCCAGGGTGGCCAATCGCAAATAGTGCTAATGATACTACGAACATAATCATAATAGTCATCTTACCTACAATAAGAATAATAATACGAAAAAGTATCATGCTAATGATACTACTACCTTAACCCCACGTAACCTACCTTTTTAAGGACTTATATACAGAAATCATATGAGGGAACCCTAAAAAGGGTAGGTTCCTCAGGGTCCAGGTAATAATAATACTGACAAGATTTGGGCTTTGAACCTCCATGCAGACTCTCCCGGCCAGCAGCTACAGAGCTCTAGATAAGTTCTAGGATACCCAGTAACCTAAGAATAAAAAGGCCTCTCTTTTTGGTATTGTGAACCTAGGACTACAAAAAGGGAATAAGGGTACTACTGGGCATCCTAGAGCTGTAGCAGCTTTTCGGTTCCAGTTTAAGGCCTACCTGGACCCTCAGAGTATGTAGAATACTCGCCTGTTACAGGTGCTGGGTCGTGTTTTACCTTTTTTAATACCTTCAAATCTCACTTGACTCTGCTTTGGTTCCGTCTTAGGCCCTAGGTTAAGGGCTTAGGAGTTCAGGGCTTAGGGGTTGGGGTTTGCGGTTAAGGGTTCAGGGATTAGTTGGGGGTTTAGGGTTAGTTAAGGAGTGCAAGGATGAATTTGCCTGCGCCTATCATGCAAACGCAGAGAACTGTCATGGTCGGTTGCGCGACCCATGTCCATCAAGCTGAGAAGTTCATGATGGCTGGCACTACGACTACTGCCACTACTACTACTGCTACTACTACCACTACTACTGCTACTAGTGCTATTACAACTACCACTACTACTACTGCTACTACTACTACTACTACTACTACTACTACTACCACCACTATTCCTAGATGCCCATTGCTAGAACAGTAAAACAAAGCCTGCGAGACCTCACACGGTTGTTGGTACTCCTGATATCATTATTAATGCCGTGGTGCGCTTCATTTTTTGTAAGTAGACATTAATGAGCCCGTGGCTAGGAACACCAAAACGATGCTACGTAGATCTACAAAAATTTGCGTGGGGTTTAGGGTGGTTCTGGAGTTTAGAGTTTGCGGCGTAACATAATGGGTTTTCTTGCAGGGCCGCCTGAACGCCCCGAAACAATCACCCCCTCTGCGGATGTTTGGCCTGTCCAATTCAGCACGCAACTCATCCGACTTCTTCCGGACGGCCTTTCAAAGTGGTTAGGGTTTACAGTGGACTCGGCTCATCAACGCAGAGTGGTAGAATGCTTTAAACCCTATAGAGCCGTGAACGCTACCCTAAACCCTAAACGCAACACAGAGCCTGTACGTAATTAACCCGACACGCCCAAACGAGGACAGCAAGTAAAGGCGAGGGGCCTTGAAGCAGCCCTGAAGTGAATCTTCCAATTCAGACTACGGCCGGCCGATAGGACAAAGTGGGTTCGGCGAGAGCTGTGGTCTTTGGGGAGTACCAGCCTCGTATCAGCACTGTTCTTTGTAGCCCCTGGGTCGCCCTCCATACATGGGTGGTTGCCGAAATTATGGTCCCTTTCTGGGTCCCTAATATAGTACGGCACCTAATATTTAGGGTACCCAAAAAGGGACCATAATTTTGACAACCACCCACATAAGCTTCTCCGCGTATCTCTCACGCAGGCCTGGTAAAACTCGTGCTCCTCTCCGAACCTTATGGCATCGAGTGTTACTCCGAGATCGCGGCCTTCAAGGTTTGAGGTTTTGGGTTTACCTATAGTCTCCATTGTAGTTCCTTTTTTCTGGATTAACCAATTATGTATTAGGGATCCTATGAGGTAACCCCAAATCAGGAACTACAATGGAGACTATAGGTAGGCCCTCGGATTGCAATTCACAGTCTCAGGCGTTGGTTTGGAACCCGTTACTCCTCGTCGTTGCTTATCGTTGCCGTGACCGTCGATGCTTTCAGGGCACAAGGACGAACGCCAGACTCGCAGACAAGCTGCTAGATGTAAGCAGGTTCTCAAACCACGAGACTCAACCCTAAACCCTAAACCCCAACCCCTAAACCCTAAACCCCAAACCCTGAACCCCTAAACCCTGAACCCTAAACCCCAAACCCTACTCTATTCAAGACTCGTCCTGGCCGGTCACCCGAAGTCATGATTCACATGCAAGGTCACGGCAGCTTTACATTTCGCAACGCCCGCCGTCTTAGGCAAAATGCCCCCGGCCCAAACAACTGCAGTGACTAAGCAAAATGCCTTGTTTGCTGTGTTTTCTTTTGGCTGAAAATCCTTGTGGGTCACCAAAAAGCCTGCTTCATGCCTGAGGCACAGAGGTGACAATAGTGAGACCTGACCTAATGCAGAAGATTGTGCGGGGAAGTGTTGCGATGATACCGATATCCTGGCAGTCTGCCAAGTTTACCATCAGTTACAGCGTGCAAAGGAGTACTGCTCGGCGACAGAGCAATGAAAACACTTGCGGCAAGCTGAGCTGAACATGTACATAAAGTAAAAGCCAGAAAGTTGGAATATGATTATCCTAAGCCCTTTATGGTAAATTACAAGGTATCCTACCCTGAAACCATATTCCAACTTTCTGGAGCTCCCTTTAAACAGAACCAATAGCAACCGCCGATGTCGAACAGCAGCACACACCAAAACCGAAAGGTTCCCACAGCGGTTGTCAAACAAAAGCTGCAACATGAAGAAAAGGATGAGTAAACAACGCAAACAACAACGACAGCTGATGAAACTGCAAATCTTGAAACCTAACCGTCAGCTGAAACACCCATGCACTATCATAGCGCAGAGCTTAAACAGTCGCAAGACGTAACAACCCTCAAAGCAAACACATCGCTACCTCTTCTGTGCATCGCCCTGGGACCCGGGCATTGTCAACAGAATTTCGAGGCATGAAGCATATACCTGTTGGGGTGTTTCAGATTTGCGGAGTTGCCGGATGAGGCGTAGGAGAAGCAAGGCGAGATGTCAATGCTTCCGGTGCGAAACACATGGCCAAGGGTCACAAACATATGTCAACATAAGTCGGTTCGCGTCCATGTATAGCTCTTGCCGCGTTGTCAGCCTGACTTGCACATGTACGCTGTGTAAAGTCGAGAGTGGGGTTACATCTGTCCCGTGAACCCTCCTCACTCACACCCACTACTTCAGATCGGTCTCTTGATGCTGGGCCTTATAAGCCTTAAGCCTTCACCTTTCTGGCATCCGCTCCCGTTCAGCTTCGACCCGTTTCGAAGGTCTAGGATCTATGTCAAAACACTGCTCAGCGGCAGGCGCATCGGCGCATCTGTCTAGTTGCATCTAGAAGAAATCTGCGGGGGGGTTCTCAATAATCAGATCTTTCCTAGGTCAGGTCTAGGCAGTATAGGGCTATTCCGGCCCCCTGTTTCTGAAACTGCCTGAGATGGGCAAGTCTTTTTGTTGGGCGCTGATGCGGCGACAACCGTTTTCCGTCTTCTGCCCCAGTTTTTGGGGAGTGCATCAGTCCAGACTCAGAAACTCCTCTTTTGGGACTGTCAACAAGACGGGTGGACCATCCGCAGACGCACGAAAGCTCGTGCAAAAGAAGGCTGCTCCTGGTGAAGCTCACTGTCATCCGTGCATTGCAGAAGCCCTTTCGTGGCTACGGCCCCCAGGACTTTGCAAAAGCTCGAGAACTTTGGCTTTGAATGGAAGCCTCAGACGGAAGCAAACACAGATATAGGTGGTTGTCAAAATTATGGTCCCTTTTTGGATCTATTATAGTACGGCACCTATTATTTAGGGTACCCAAAAAAGGACCTTAATTTTGACAACTACTCATATGAGAACAGGATTTCAAATGGAGGCCCTAAACTCGATATCCTTGGAGGATCATGCGAATCAGGTTATAAGTACCTTCATTCTTACCTTTGGTTAGTCAGGAATGGAGGAATGTGGTACTACTATATTACTATAAACTATAACTACTATTACTACCAGTCTTCCATTCCCTACTAGCCAAAGGTAAGCATTGGGGTTACAAGTAATGTTTCCTTATTCGGGAGTTTCCGAAAATAGGGGACCCTAATATAGTACCCTGAAATAGTAGGATCCTTATAAAAAGGATCCCAAGATAAGGTACCCCTAGCTTTCGGAAACTCCCAGTTATCTAAACCCTGAAATCCAGTATCAGGCTCTGTAGCCCTTCAGGCGGCCCATGTTCGTTGCTTCGACGGCTCTTTGCTATTGTTACGTCTACCAGTAACATTCATTGTATGCCTTCCCGTAATTTAGGGTTTAGGGTTTAGGGTTTGCCGTAAACCCTAAATGCTGCAACAACGCTGTCCGGGCTACTATAACAATGCATGAATACCCATAGGCTCCACAGTAGTTCGTCCTTGGGACTACCTTATAGACTTCTAAATATGAACCACTAAAAGGAACTACTATGGAGCCTATCGGTATGGCTTCTTCTTTCAAAGTCTTACATTATTATGCTGACAGATCGCACTTGTCTGCGGATGGAGATGGCTGAAATCTCTGCACTTCGTCTTGCAAGCATCGAAGAAGCTGGGCCGTGCAAATCCTCCATGGAGGGCTCTCGGACTCTTGTCCTTAAGGTTTCTTTATGGCCAGAGGATTCGCACCGGAATTTTTGTTTTTAGGCTTTGAGGCTAGGGCTGTAGAACTTAGGGCCTTTGTGATTCTGTGATCTTGGGTCTAAGGCCTAAGCTTAGGGCTTGGGTTCTACAGGGTCTTTTCGGTTTTACTCAAGCTTCGGAATTTTGGCCGACTCGGTTGCTAAACCTGCGGGCTCTCAGGGCACATGCACACATGCATACCTCC